TGGTGAGAAGTGTTCTCATATCACTTAAGTGTCGGCGGATTTCCATGTGTTTGGATTTTTTTCATGTTTTCGTTTTACCTGTTGTTTGTGTTAAATTGCTAATGATTACGTAAGAGAACAACCTGTAAATCCGAAGTTGCAGCCCGGGGGAGTGCGTGTATTTTTTTCAAGCCCTTTTGAGGGGGGGCTTATTTATTAATTTAGCGAAACGCATCTCCTGTAGCAAAAATATCGTGGTATGAGACAGTAGACTTACGCATTGTACAGTTAAAGTCACTGTCAAAAGTATTTAATTCACTTGTGGTAGCCTAAAAGTAACAAAAACAAAATTTTTATTCTTCAAAAATGTGCTTTCGGCCTCATGTTCTTCTTTAATTTTTATGAATAAACCATAACTGATCAGTCCACGTTAATCGTTAATTTTTTTGTGAAGAATAAGGATTGGGGGAGGGAGAGGCGGGGGGCTTAATAGATAGGGAGGCTTATTAACTTTCCTCCTCTGAAAAGGGGGGGCTTAATAGAGGATTTACAGTACTTAAATTGTGTCATCTAAAATGCACAGCTACATGTAAATGAGAAACAAGTCATCTGTTGCAGTCAAACCAGGTCAAATGTACTCCCCCCCCCCTGAAAAAAGGAATGCTTCTTCATGCAGCAGCCCATGTCCAGTAGGAAGCTTGTTAGAACCCCCCTCCCTTTCCCCCACAAGGCTACATTGCAATTCCACTCTCATCCCCACCAAAAATATCATATTAATTTTTCCTCTCCTTTGCTGTTATTATAATCATGCAGATCTTCCAGACTCCAGTGTTGACGCTGTAATTGCTGCTCAGTGTTTCCACTGGTTTGCAAACAACGAGTCTTTATCTCAAATTCAACGAGTTCTTGTACCAGGAGGCAAGCTGGGTCTTATTTGGAATAGTTGGGATGACTCCTTCCCTTGGATTAAAGAGCTGAATGAAGAAGTTATCCTTCCTTCTTACTGGGAAACGAACACACCTCATGAAATATCTTATGAATGGAAGAAAGTCCTAGATGCATCAGGAAAATTTTTGCCTGTAGAAGGAGATGAATCTCAGTTTAAAAGCGAGCAATTTTTCTCTTTTGAGGAGTTTATAGACCGACTCACATCAGTCAGCGTTATACAGGTGAAAAATTCAAGTGAAAAAGAGTTGATGAAAAAGAGGGTTAAATTAATTTGGAATAAATACAATGAGAAGAACAAAGTGGTCTTCCCTCATGTTGTTAAGATTTATTGGGCAGAAAGAAAGTGAAAATGATTGTTTTTCTTTTGCTAAGATAAGATTGTGAATAAATAATATACTAGTGGTAGTAGTTTTGAAAATACCAAAAGAGTGTTGAAATAAAGTTTGCGCATGTACATCCTGTCTGCCAGTTGAAAAGTAGATTTCTTTCTGATTTTTTTTTGCACTGAAAAATTTTTATTTCATTTATATTTTCCTCTGCTTTGTTGTTGTTGTTTCAACCCCTTCCCCTCTACATGTATTAAATAGTAGCAGAAACACCAGTTCACACCCTTGAAGAAATTCAAGTATAAGCTATGTATATTTCTATTTATAACACTAGTATTCACCACAGAGGCCCTTCTCCTCCATCCTACCCTAAGTGTCTTACTTGGGTTGGGTATTGAGTATCAAGGTAATGTGTTGCCAGGGCTGTAGCTAGCCTCCCCTGCAGACATTCTTAAGGATGCATCACGTGTTCCTGCCTCACAAACAGGGCACACCCCTAAGAATGTCTGCGGGGGAGACTAGGCTGTAGCATAGGGAGGGCCTCCGCAGTTTTTGCCCCACAAAGTTAAAACATGTGCACATAAAAGTTGAAAATATAATTCATCTCTCAGAGCATTGAAACAGTGATGTCTCTGCAGCTAGGTGAAACATTTTCTAGTTTTAAGATACAGAGACCAGTTCAATGGGTCCTCCGCACCCAAAACCCTCTGCTTTTCAAATACAATGAGCTACCTTAAATCTCTGTGCCCCCCTAGTTTCTAAAGGCCTGCTACAGTCCTGGACTTGTAAAGGGAGGCACCTGAAGTGGTGGGACAGATACAGATCCCATTTTCATTGGCAAAATTTCGTTCAGATCCCAGTGTCCCATTTAAAGTTTGTCTTGGTTCCTTTTCCCAGGGGCCAAATAAGTGTGGGCAAATACCATTTTCACTGTCCATGAATTATAATAGGCAAAACGCAGGTCCCATTTTACCATTTTTGAGGTCATCAGAGGGTACAGTTGTAGCAATGAATTTTAACGAGTTGTTTAAACTTGAAGAGAGAGTAACATTTAGGGTGAAAAGAACCCCTACAGGAATTATTTTTAACTTAATGTTTATTTAAGCAAGAGACATTTCCAGCAGTTCGGTAACAAAGGTACCAACTCCAGAATACTGATAGGCTTGAAAAAAAATCCAGAGACTTGTATGAGATTTCCACCCAACCCTCAACCTTGTTTTATTGTGTGCACTCCTTGGAGTAGAATAATGGAGTGATTTATGGTCACCTCAAAAAACCTTGGAAGTATTAAGTATTTATATTTCTGTTACCAGTTTAATTCACTTTTTTATGTGTTCCTTATCCTGTTCTTCTACATTCAAAGAGCCTGTGACACGCTGATTTAGCCGTGAAAAATTGGTCACCAAGTTAAGTGAAATATTAGTAGAGAAAACGGCGGGGGATAACACCACAGCAAATGATCAAAACTGAAGAAGATTTCAAAAACGGATTGCTACTGCAGTTTTTTCAAAAATGTTCAGTATGACCGTTTCTTAAGTTTCTCTCTGTTGCCTTTGCTTTAAATTACATTGGTTGGGATACATTGTTTGCCATGAACTGACTCCATTTTTTGGAACTAAAAGGCTTATTTCTCCACTAACGTCAATCAGAAATGCTACCATTGCGGTACACAAAGAATTTCCCATTTCTTGCTTAATTCAAGGTGCTCCACGGGACGTAGTCAGGTGCAAGGACAGCCAAAATGGCTTCCTAACCCACCCATCTCACGAAACACTTTAAAAAAAATAACTATTTATTTATTCTTGAACACACTGCATTTGCAACACATTCCCTAATAACTTTGTGCTTACAATAGAGCGGTTTTCGTATGACCTTGAAAAATGGTTTCGGTGAGTGTTCGTTATTTGTTTTATCAGCCAATGGATGAAAAGATCAAAACATGGCCTCTTCGTTTTCCCGCCAAAGAAAACCCTAATATGGAGTAGGCATTGTTCGATTGGCCAATCGTGTTGCAGTATGACGTCAAAGCAAAGTATGGGTTGGTTTCTAGAAAGTTCTCGGGCATGAAGTTTTTTCACCCGAGTGTTCGCTTAATCAACCAAAAAGCTACGCGCGTTTGTATGTGTTCGATAAACCAATAAAATCGCTCTATTTCTGTTCGTTTGTTGTTTTTGTATTGTTCGCGCGTTTTTTTTTCAAGGTCATACGAAAGTCGCTCTAGTGAAGCCATAGAACTATTGTTGTATCAAAATATTACAAAATTGTACCTAACTGAGTTTTGTACAATCATAAATAGTCGTAAAATAATTCTCATTGAAAAAGCCCTATTGTGTTGGTGTTGAAAATATATTTTTGATCCCAAAATACCCTCTGCTTTTTTTTTTCTTTTCCACTGTTTTTTTAACCTGACCAAAGGGCCAAGTTATCAATATAAGTATTAGTGTGAGTCAATGAACCAAATCTTCTGCCTTTTGTGAAGTTAAAACCTGAATATAACCAGGTGTATATGAACGAGTGCGGAGTAAACATTTCATCAGGGTCTGAGTTTTAACGAAGCAGAACTCCAGCTGGAACTAACATCAGGCTAGCGAACGTGACAGTCACGTGACTAGAGACAGACGATGTGTTTCCTACAAAAACCAACACAAGAAAAGTCAATTAGTTAAAACACGCCAACGGACGAATTCCACGCTGTTGATGGAATCCAAAATCGAACTCGAACCCCTGGGAAGAAGTTGAGCACAAAATGAAGTTTCGAGGCTCGTGAGCTATAAACTCACCACGTACACGAAAGATATGGCTAATTTGTCCAGATAATTCACCTCCTCTTCACGAAGCCGAATATCTGGATATCACGAACAATTCAAAACTGAATATCTTGAAAGTGATAAGCTAAAGAGTAACTAAAATTAAGGTTTACTCAGAAGTGTTTTTTTTTTTTAATCAATTGATAGCGTTGGAATCTTGAGTCTCTATGGGGATTTCTGACGATGAAACAACGACCTTGTATGTTAAGCCATTCCGACGAAGTTTGATGTTAATCGTGCGATGACGGTAGAAAAAATCTGCTTGAGGTGTGCTACATGTTCAGAGTTTTTGTTTAAACCTTTTTATTTTTTTAAATTATTATTTTTTCGTTTCCGTCGTCTTCGTCGTGGTTGTTAGAGCTCGTTAGTAACGTTAACCCACCTGAAAACATTTTTTGATATGTGACGATTTTGTTGAAAACCGACAATTTTATGGATAATTTGCGACGAACACAACGTCCGCAGGTACCAATAGAGCGGCTCAAATTTATGTAATAAACGCGAAGTTTCATAAAAGGAGTGGAAAGCAAACGAACCTGAGGAGTCGCCATCATCATCATCTGGGCCCCATGGGTCTTGTTCATCAGGGTCTCTTTCTATCACACTTTTGATGGCCTCTTGTTGCGCTACTGAGAGGCTGTCTCTCTTGGCAGAGCTGATAGCCTGCACTTGAGGGGTCAACATAGCTTTATACTGATCAACAGAAAACGCCTAGAGACGAAACACAATAATATAGCCTGATGGTCATGCCAGTCAATAACAGTGGCCTACTTTTTTAAAAAACAGACGATTGTGCAATGCAAGGAGTGTTAATTGCAGATCAACTCTCAGGTGCCATCTTGATCTGTAAATGGGTCTTATCTCCAAACAAAGACCTCGCGCTGAGTCTGGGTAGGGAAAATAAGGGGACTGCCCGCGTGTTTTAGCATGTTACAACAATACTTATTTAATTCATCCCACAATCTCAAATACCAAGTCAAGCAAGAGACTGCAGTCATGCTTTGTTCTTTTTCTTCACATAAAAACACTCACCTGTAGCTGAGAGACGCTCATATCTTCAAATACCACCGGAGGGATTGCGTCGACAACTTTAGCTTTTAGTTTTGATACATCGCTAATGGACAGGGCCTCTGTGTAAAAAAAAAAAACAAGACGTTGAAAAGATGACTCAAAACAACTGCCTCAAAAAATAGTAGGACAAGCCTGCCTGCTAGTGCAATGATAGGAAACTAGTACCAAGAAAGCAAGCCACGCAAAACTTAATACGAAAACTCAGAGATAAAATTCCACTCTTACGTCAAAGAGGAAACTACTTTTTCATTTTTTTGGCAGGAATTGGCCTCAACTGAAGATCAATCATCAGGCACATAAATAACTTACTTAGTACTTTTCCCAGCTCACTAACTTGGTCCTTATCCCAGTCATTCGCACTCTGTGACCACACGATCTTAGCTTTGTCAATAATCGCTATTAACTGCTCCATCGACCAGCCATCGATTTCACTCAGATGTTTAATCGCGAGTCTGTGAAACATAACATGCATTATTACTGAATTGATGTTTTTGCTCCCTTAAAAACAGTCAGTAGCGTGAGAAAATAAATAAATTAACCGCCCATTAACGCAACCTCTTTATATAATCTTCACCTTTCCTAGTTTGGAACCTCATCGAGCCTTAACAATTAAAATCACCTAAAACAACTTAATGGAATGAAACTGACGCAAATGAAGCACTGCTACTTAAGTATTTAAAATAGTGTAAAGGAAAGGACTCCAATTTTGAATCTTTATCCTAAAAAACCATTGTACCTGAAAGCCTTTTGTGGAATTTTAGCGATGTCCTCCTTGGTCAAACTGACAGCCAACTGTCCCAGACTCATGTATACATCATCATCCTTCACCTGCTTCAGGAATTCCCGAACTTTCGGTTTAAGACGTTCCAGCTGAAGGAAACAAAATTGAGAAATAAGTATATCGGCAAAAAGAAAACGACTTGTTCTCAGCATATCCTGGGAAGGACAAGCCAAATGGGAAATGATAACAACATTTAAGTTTTATTTTTTTTTTTCCGACACCACTAGTACATCAGGTTAGGGAAACTGCATTGAATGGAAGGGAACCGTGTTTTGGGGTCCGTTTCTATGGAGATAACCAGTCTCGGTTTGAAGGGTCACCCACCCAGTCGAGTCCAGCCTCGTACCCAGGCCTGTTCGCGCTATCCGAGTGACCAGAGGAGGCTTGGAACCGAGCGCGAATTTTCCCGACAGGCTTGACAGGTGACGTCACATCCGAAATCGCCGAGGACGACTGGGAACGAGGCTGAGTCGACTCCATTTTAGCGTGCATTCATATGAGGAAAAAAGTTGACCCCTTTACCCGAGCCAACAGCGCTCACGCATGCGCTGGTTGTCTTGCCTTGACGGAGTTGTCTCGGTTGGGCGAGCCAAAGTGTATCTATGGAGAAAGGTTGGTCCGGCTAGAAGGGTGACCCGCCTCTAGTATAGCCAACTTTTTGTTTGTCATGTAAACAGTTCGCCATATTTTGTCAGGAAATGATAAAAAGTTGGCTAACCCAGCTGGATAGCTCGTGTAGGAGGGTGGGTGACTCTTCTACTCGGGACAACTTTTCTCCATATAAACGTGGCCTTGGTCTCTGCCCTTCGTTGTATGCAATTGGCTTTAAATACTTCGAGAATAAGAATTCCGTACGAGTGGCCTATACACTATTAGTAAATAGAAGGCTTCACCAAACTTCTTTAAGCGTTACTTAAAAAGGAAATTCGCACAAGAAAAACGTAACAGCAGATATATCGCACCTGATCTTTACTCCATTCATTCCATTTTCCCAGCGCAGCAATGATATCAATGTTGTCCAGGTTCAATTTTTCCAAGTCATCAGGAGAAAGACCCAGTACTACACGACCAATGCTCTTCGATTCGAGATGTCTCCGTTTGTTAAGTGCTACCAAAAAAAAAGAAAACAACGTAAATTTTATTTTTATGCATGCTTTCTTCAATGACAACTATGTTTAGAATATTTTATATTGATTTTAAAGAACAATAACTAAAATAGCCCTTGTGGCAGGCATTCGCAATGGGAGGAAAGGGATAAAAAGCGGCGCGCTATTTTCTTCATTCCCATTCGTATACCCGCCATAGAGGCTGAAACTACGAAGGTAATGTAAATTTCCACTTCTTACTTCTTTCACTTTCCTTGCCAAGGCTTCCAGCGTTTCCATGTCAACATCAAAATATTGTCCCCAGTCTCCCACAGCCTGTTCAAATGCTTCTTTGCTAAGCTTCTCTATGTCACCTAGATCCAGTCCCTTCACCAATGATCCCAGCTGACGTAATTTCTCCCCGGCCCATTTACCCACATCTGCAACGAGAGGTTTGCAGTGAGAAATGGTCAGTTGCTAAAAGGTTTAGAAAATTCACTTCACCTTCACTGGGTAGAAAAAGAGAAGTTTTGTTAAGAGGCAAAAACGTTCCATTGGGTGTATATGTTGTGGTTCAATTTTGTCCTTAGTTTAAATTCTATTTTCCTTTGTTTTGGGGTATGGTAATATATGATAATGAGTTTAAAACAAAGAAAAATAAAATTTAAACTAAGGATAAAATTGAACCACAACATATACACTACTTCTTAAGATTCAAATACCATTTTTTTCTTTAGCTTCAGAGAACAGTAAAAAATTGCAGGTAATTAAGAAAAAAGCTCAAAAAAAAATCACCTGCACAAGGAGTATTAGGATTTTACGGGGCATGTGTTAACGTAGTTGATTATAGAGCTTTAAAAAGTGAAAAAAAAAAAAAAAAAGAAAACTAAGCCAGTTCTCACCAGATTGTTCCCACTTCTTCTTAGCTGCTTTAATAAGAGCGTGGGCTTGAGATTTGCTGAAGTTAAATGTGCCCAGTTCATCCAACATTTCTTCAAGAGAGTCCAGATTGATACGTTCAAGATCACTCGGATCCAGGCCCAATGCAGCTGGGCCAAGATCGCGCCACTGGTCACCAATCCACTCGGCGACATCACTACAAAGAGACAAAGTAGACTTTTACAATAGATCTCTTGACTTTAACTATAAGCATTCTTGTTCTTAAGATAACCTTCTGACAAAAATTCGCCACAATGAGCGTAGTTGAGGTTGGCAAGATGTTCTCATGACATTAGTGTTTTCCAGAAAATTGTTCAAAAACCTCTCTCCTGTGGTAAGGGTTAGGCATCCATAATTTTTCAAACAATATTCATCAGCGATTATCAACCAACTCTTGTGGCTACTATTTAAAGCAGACTATACGATGAGAAACCGGCCTGTTTACTCTATCAGCTATTAACAGTGAATAGAGCGACTTGTCGTAATCAGGAAAGCTAACTGTAGGAATAAGTCATGACCTTGGAAGCATTGTTCCTTACAACACAATTAAATGAACAATTACAGATTCTCCCGATTCAGTATCACTAAGCGGCAATTCATTTTACCAACCTCTTATCAAAATGTTGCTTTGCCAGCTTAGCTATCTCTTTAAGCTTCTTCATGTCATAACCTTTGGCTCGAGCAATATTGTAAAGGTTGTCAACAAATGCTTCTTTACTTATTTTACGAAGTGTTTTTCTGCTCAGTCCTGCCACTAAAGAACCAAGATCCTCAATGTGTTTGGAGTCCAGGACATCAACGCCAGTTTGATTCTAAAGCAGAAAGGAGGGTCATTCTTTATTAAACCGCAAACAGGATCAAAGTTTATAATAGCAATGTCGCTAGAGTTAAACATGCGCACCAAGATAGGGTTAGTACCTTTAATCAGGGCTAAGATATTGGTGGACAATGGTATTTATGAAAAATTATCTGTCCAGAGGATAACATAATAGATCGTTTTCAGTCACGTGGTCAGCAGCTTTGCAAATAGTCCAGTTTCGAGTTCGCTATGACCGCTGAATTAAAGAAGTGAAAACTTATTTTTTACAGGCTTAGCCTCAATCTGAAGTTATATATTCACAAATTCCAACGAGAAAAAGACCTGTTTATTACTATGTCTATTGTGTTTAGTCAAATTTCGAACAATTACTTGCCGGAATTTCTGAACATTTTACCTAACCCTGTATGAATGCGTCGTTAATGCTTGTATTCAGCGGTAATTTTTGATTCGAAACTGGACTATTGCTTGGAATAAAAGAAAGTTGTAACATGTGAAAAGACTTCAATTCCCACGGGATGACGTCATGTGAAAACGATCTATTGGTTTCCCTAATACGCGTCTACTCAGGAAAGGCTATCCGTTTTAGAACTGGGGCTAAAGCAATAATGTTATCTATGACGTATCGTAAAATCACATACAATACAAACTGCTAAAAAGTAGACCACGGTCCCAGTCTTCGTCTTATGCTACAACTCGGAGACACAGAGTAATGTTATACTGGGAAAACAGTAAGCATATTCTCCAAACTGCTCTTCGTACATTTAATATGGTGATAATGAGCTTCAGTGAAATAATCAAGACATTTTCTGTTTGGTAAACAGCGCTTCATTAATTTACATAACCTTTTCTTAAAAGTTATCTATAATACAGCAGTAAATGAAAAACACGGAGAATATAGATGGTCATTACTATACGCCACTGTTGAAACATGAGGGAACTGGAACCGAAACCATTCCACAATTGTTTCTGGGAAAGTTACTGCAGGGGAGGCGTCAGTCGTTTATTGCCCATTTTTTTTGTTCCTAGTAACAGTCCCAGAAGCCTTTGCGAAGTTAACTCGGTCCAGCTTCCTTCTCGGTTCTAAAGTGGCGAAGTGGGCCGTGGTTGGCCGTGGGCAGTGTGCCGAAAAGTAAGCATGATTTGGGAAACTGTCTAAATTTACCTTGAAGAGTTCCACTGCCAAATAAGCCCTGGCTTTGAGTTTGTCTTCCGGCAATCCAGTTTGTTCTCCCAGCCGACGGATAGCAGTCAGCAAGATCTTCTCAGGTAGCTTTTTCAGCTCATCTTGTGCAAGACCTTGTAAAAAGGTCCCGAGAGAATTGATATTGATTTCGGTGAAATTGGAGAAATCAAGGTTCTCCATTTCCCAGTACTCTCGCAGCCTCATTAGTACCATAACAATCTAAGATCAACGAAATAAGACAGGTGAAATCAATTTGTCACTCTTGGTGACTTACAAACTTTATGCATAGCTATCCTATTATATGGCTTCTTGAGTCTGTGCATAAAACCATTAAGTTCCATCCGTTTAAGAGGTACCTAGCAGCAGTTTCCTGCGGTGTGGTACTTCATTTTTACCGAACTCTGAAAAGGTTTTTTGAGGGAGCTTAAGCAGACAGGTTTTTGAGCGAAGCACATCAACCGCAAGTGGACTTTCTTCATTCTTGGGCAGTGTTTTCGCCTGAACTTTCGGGTAAATCGTCTCCATAAGAGTAGAGACACTTAGCAATACAAATTTGGTAGCATCAAGGCATATTAACAGCGGAAAAGCCTCATTTCCGGTCGACGTGCGTTGTTCAAAGACGCCTTTGCTTAAGGTCCCCATTAGATATGTCAGTGGTCGGCAGCATCGCAAAGGCCGGGAGAGTAATCATCTCCATCATCTCCATCGGTTAAAGGTTAAATTTCCCGTCCGGGTGGGGGTGAGTGTTTTGCCTTTTTTAGCCATGACACTTCTAAATGAAGCATACATGATGTAAAAAAAACAAAACGGTAAAAAAGTACTGGAAACTAGTTTCTAAAAATGAGAAAGATGGCAGCCGAGTCGTGGAGAAATTTTTGTTGGCTTTCCAAGACGTTTTCTGGAAACTTTCTTCGCGCTGTCTACCCCACACGGTTTAAGGTCAAATTCAAAGGAAAACAAAAAAAAAACAGCTTTTTATCGTATTCCTTGGTTTAAAAGACTTTGGTGGTTTTTAAGGCAGACGAGAGATGTCACGATTTCAGCAAACCTTTCGTTTTAATCTTTCCATGAAAGTCTACGCACGTGAAAATCCATACAAAAATGGCGAGTTTTTGGTTGGTTTTTGGCGCGAAAAACCCAGTGAAAACCGATGAGCTGGCATATCGAAGGTAAGATCTAGAATTTGGTGTTTCTTGATATTTATATTCGGTGGTACCCATTGAGAATAGGCCATTTGCACGATGGCGTCTTTTTACTACGACCAGAATTCTTTTCGTTTTTCCTTTCATATTTAAATTTAAAAATCCCAGTGAGCTTTAAATAATAAAAGCACTAATTTGCATAAGAAAGCAAAACCCTGAAGGATTCTGGTCTTAGTAGAAAGCGTAGCTCAAATGCGGCTCTAGCCTGCTAAATTCCCGGATGTGACCGGTCATTCTACGCAAACCGTTCGCTGATAGTGCCGCAGACCCTCACAGATCACAGATCACATAGAAAACAGACTTTTTCATATACCTGTCCTCGGTTCCAGTCTTTTTCACGTCCCAGCACATCGATAACGTCTTCAATACCCCGGATGGGTAGGTCACGTAACTCTTCTTTAGCAATACCTAACACAATGTGACCGAGTTTCTTCATGTTCAAAAATCCCCAGTTTGGAGTGTCGGTTTCATCTACATCAGTAGCATTGAAGTCACCCCACTTTGCACTGATCTTTTTGGCGAGAGTCAAGACCTGAAAACAGGAAAACAAGAAAATTTTTCTATTACAAAATTGAGTCACTCTCTATAGAAAAAAAGTGGAAGAGAGGAAGAGAGAGAAAGAAGTGAACGGCATTCACTCAACCTCTCCCTACCAGCGCCCCAACCCCTCACCCCCCTTACCGTTTTTCTCCAGCTCGCTCACTTCTTTTCGCGCCATCCCTACTATCTTAACGCCTGGAATAGGAAGAATATTGCGTGATGACCCTCAACCAGCGTCTTCGAAGGAGGCTAACGTTCACACAGTCGTGTAGATAAATATTAGGGACTTGAAGATCCAACGACGCCGACGACAACGAGAACGTCAAAAAAACAATAGATTTAATTAGCAAAACAACAACTTCGCACGTGCATCACACTTTTTTGTACATTTCTTTCCCCTTTTTGCACGACCACGACTTGAAAATGCCTAATTTCGCGTTTTATGGAGGACGTAAACAAGCAACGACGACATTTTATTCCTCTTTCTGAGCTTGAATATGGCCCCTTGAAATTCAGCTTCAGGACGGTTCGCCTACAATTGACAAAGTAAGTGAGTAAGAATAATCACTATTAGGGCTGAAAGAACGCAAAATTAATTCACTTTTTAAACGACGTTGTTGTCGCCGTCGCGTCGTTGGATCTTAAAGTCTCTATTAAGAATGTACGACGTACCTGTGTTTTATCCCAGGGAATCAGGCCCAGTTTATCCAGGTTAGCGATAACATTATCCACGTTTTCAGCATCAATTTCGCCACGACTCAGAGCCACAGCAAATTCTCCAAGCTGTGCAATACTTTTACCAACAGTAGGATCCTCCTCATACTGCAATACAGTGGCGGCAAATTGTAATTTAATCACTTCAACGAAATGGTTGTATGCGTTGATACATGTGGACTCCAGTAGATATTATCAATGTATAATTACAACTAATAATAACTAGAAAGTAACCAAAGGCAATAATAGGAAACGTGATGCGTGCAGGCAGGCTATAGACAGGATGCTCAGTCAGTTACCTTTTTTATAAATTGTCGCATAACAGGCATAGCAACGTCTTTAACAACCTTCATTTCTGGAAAAGCGGCAAATACAACCGCTTGAGTCATTTTTCCAACATCAGAAGACAAGAAACCGTCAATAGCTTTTCCAAGTGCTATCACATCTTCCTTCTTCAGTTGGGACAGCTGTGAATTGAACACACGAATAAGATATGTTTGTGATCCTCTGGTGAACTGGACGGTTTGAAGAAGATCTTTTTCGGGCGGAAGGACATGGAAATAATAAAATATCTGATTAACTTCGATTTCAAGAGTCGCCAGAGAACATCTTTAAATCACAAATAAAATCACACACTGATTTTCTGTAAACTCAACGCTGCGTTTGCGAAAATGTCAAATCAGACATCAAATAAGCTTTGATGAAGATAATACAAAGGATGTTAACATCATGTAATGAGCGTCTTTAAGCATAGTAAGGACAGTCACTTACGTCTACAGACTTTTTCAGTTTTTCCACTAATTCCTGTGCCTAATAAACAAAAGAGCAAAAGATATGAACCGTATGTCCAATCACGAAAAAAAATCATTTACAAAGCAGTAGAGGAAGAGGCATACTAATTGACCCGCAAAAATTTGATGTTATTACCTTTAATATGATAAAACACCCAGCCGGCAAGTCATTTTATATCTGACATATCTACAAAGGGGTGCAATAATATGAAGTAACTGGTAGCTAGGATTTTCATAAAGAAAAAGTCTCCTTCGAATCTGATTAAAAAGATACACATTCATAAATTTTCTCTAACATTTCTCTTCCGGAAGTAAACTAACCCCGCATAACAAGCGTTGGTCAAGAAGAATTTGGCAAAGGAATCTTGAAGATTTTCTAAGAAAACTGCTTCCACCCTTTTGGCTCGTTGACTTGTTAGGCAATTTTTACATTAAAACAACTTCTTAATTTTGATTTTTATTACCATAGCTGTGGTGTAATAATCACAATCATGCAGTTTCTCTTTGAATGTTTTCATTACGTATGTCTTCTTGAATTCTATAGTGCGTGATATCAGACCAACCGCCCCGTTTTACCTGGTCAATCTTAAAATCAACGTCCTTCAAAAACTGCAGTGAATCCTTGATCACTTGATCTCCAATCTCTTTAAGCTCAGATGGCAGAAGTCCACCAACAATATTTCCAAGTTCCTTAATATCATCTTTGGTCCACTTGTCGGGGGAACCAATAATTTCCTTTGCTTTCGTTGCTAACACCCTCAATTGTCCTTCCTTTAACTTCACCTTGCCAAGAACGCTTTTAATAGCCTGTAAGTATGATACACAAATCAGACAAAGATATCTTTCTCCAAGCTTCACTTAAAAAAAGTTGGTAATTCACAGCAAGTTGAGAGATTGTTGCCTGATAGAGATCCTAGGGGATGAAAATTTAAATAAACCCTGCACCTGGAACTGCTCTTTTGACAAGAATTTTAAGTCCTCCACATTTAAGTCCTTCAGTAATTTTCCAAGTTTCTGTAACTGAGGAACACTCCAGCTCTTGATTTGTCCCCATTGTTCTTTTAGCTTGGCTATGATTACTTTGGCTTGAGAAAAGGAGAAATCATTTTTCACCACTACATCTATGGCTTTGCTCACCTGTCAAAGTAAAACAATTTCGACATTCAATATTGACCCTTCTTGATATGGGCACAAAAGGAACAGGGAGTCTAATATAGGGAGGATATAGTGATGATTATTACCACGGTTATTCTCCAATGACTCAATACAATTGCTTCAAAATAATTTCACTTGCAATGAAACGTTTTGATGTCTGACATTATAGGACGACTCCAGCTTCGACCATCGTTTGAGTCCAAATAACACAATCATTCCAAGAAATTAAAACGGTAAGTCAGTTTTGTTCATCCTCAAAATCATTATGTACAATATCATATTGTAAAAACTCTGAATACTTACAACATCAGATGCCAGCTTTAAAATGTCCCTTATGGGTAGAGCCTCCAAAAGATTGCAAAGGCCACCCAGTATTTTCTCATCCCACTTAGCCACATCTCCATAAACCTTTTTAGCAGGAATCATCAATGCATTCTTCTGGTCTCGATCAAAATTTGCCATACAAAGATAACTAACTCTAAAAAATTAAATGTCAGTAAAAATTAACGGGAGTCGCAACAATGCAAACATTCATATAATCCCACAATAAAATATTTCTGGGGTTCATCTACCTCTTTTTAATTAAGCTAAAGAACTACTTGGTTAAAAGGAAATGGAAACCTTAATCTCTTCCGTCAAACAATCATTTGACCCTTTGTGTCATATTTCACAGACAATAATAAACTTGACAATACATTAATATGAAATTTAGCACGTCAGAACAAGTAAATGGTCATCAACAACAAAACAGGCACACAACTTGTTGATACTGGTCTTGTAATCCTTGGATTGTTAGATTTTTGCCTAACACATAACGGCAAGCTGTTAAAATTACCCTTGGTCAAAGACATCTCCAGCCAATTCTGTCAGTTCATTCGCATCAAGCCCAACAAGTAACTGTTTCATACTCTCCAGTGCTTTGACTGACCACTGATCAATACTACGGCCAAATTTACGATAGGCAGCTTGGGTGAAGGCTGCCATCTGCTCACGATCCCAGTTCTTGCTCTGAAAAAAAAAGAACAAAGTAAAAGGAGATTGTAAAAAACTTGTACCACACAAGTCAAATGAGATATTGATATCTATACATCCTATTTGTTTTAGAATAGAATAGAATAGAATAGAAAACGTTATTAATGTGTTGGAGCCATATAGCTTGGGAACAACCCCATACTAATTTGGGGACACAATTTATAATTGAATAATTGGAATTACCTATACAATATAAAAGTAAAAATATCTAAACTGTGCATAATATATTATACTCTGATGATAATCTAAAATAACTGAGAGAGAATTGTATTATTACAACAATAAAAATCTACAAATTTATTAAAATTTATTAAATTGACATTGACAGACACGAATGGCCACACCTGACAGTTTAAGGAAGCAAAATCAAAAACTACAATTTCTACTTACAGCAAGTTTATCCACATTGGCAAAAAAGGAATCTAGGTTCATGTGCATAATAAGCTTCTTTAAATTTTGTGATGTGAACTTTGTGAGGCGGTCAATTATTCCACTGAACTGACTGCTTGTCATGCCACTTAAGCTATCCTGTGAAACAGATAAAACACAACAAGGAAAATAATCAATCTATTTATTAACAAAACTGATACAAATAATATAGGTGACATCTTGATATGTGACCTGCCTAATGCAGACGTAGTTTAAGCTTGGTTAGTAACGTCTTGGAAGCAGCACCAATACCCATGTTCTGGGGCCCTGACAAACTCAATGAATTACCAGAAGTGCATTTCAAATTTCCTTTCATCCAGGTTGGCAATTTGACAATAGTTTCTTTAACAGGCCAACCATTGCACATGCTCAAATCCTAGCACACAGGTGAGGGCCTAGAACAAGGATTTCGGTGCTGTTTTGCAGATGGACTTAACCAGAGTTTAGCTTTGTCTGTGGCGAAGGCTACTTAATACTAGGAATTGACACATAATTTAAGTTAATTTACAACAGCAATAATGATCTTCTTTACTACTCTCTGGTATGCTAATGATAAAGTAATGTCATTTTACAGTTTAATATTGCCAAGATGCAAATGTACCTGTAAAGAAGAGAGCACATCTTGTGGTACACTTAACAGTTCGCTGACAGTTGCTTGAACAAATTTCTTGGCATCTGACAACTTTTCCTTCAGGCTATCAGATAGCTTATCAAAGGCACTCTTTATGCTGCACAAGACAATATGGGGTGGTTAAAGAAACGTGCTGCTTTTCCCTGGGGGGAGGGGGACTCCCATATAAAAGTGATGGGGATGTTCATCTGAAAATTAAAATTAAACCCCCTAAGGAAGACCAATGTGGGTGTGGCTCAAACTTAAACTGACTCCTAAAGGAGATTTCTACATGGTCAGTATCACAGCATTTTTAGCCCTAAACAATACCTGAATGGGAAAATATGGTGACTATCTGTCCCAAACACCCTAATTGAGACCAAACTTTGCAAATTATTTATCCAAAGCGAAACACTGAGTATCACTTTTATATGGGAGTACCCTCCTCCTCCCCCCCCCCGCCCCACCGACCCAAGACTTTTTCACATAGAAACAAATATTATCAGAGAACATCATGTGACATGGAACAAAATCCTGCCATACTTTACATATTAGGTGAACATATACTAACTGAGTAACTTAAATATAAGAAACTATTTATTGTAGCTATATTACAACTGTTATTCAAACTGCACATACATTAGTTGGTGATATGCATAGCAGATTAATCTCTCTCAATTCTTTCTTTTCCCTTCTTATCAATCATGAGGAAATAGGAGTAGGGCAGGATTCTTTTGTGGAAAATTATTACTTTTGAGAACTCACGAAATTAAGTTTTCGTCATAGGGTATTACATTCTTCAACATAACATAAGAGTCTGTCTATTCTAAATATCTTTTACCCTCATGTATATGCGCATTGCAAGTAGTACTGGAAAGAAATTAACTAAATATCATTTATTTGTATTGACCTAAATTTTATATTAACTTAATTAATGCACATGTAATGTCAAGCTATAACAGTTACAGTAAAATGTCCATAAGGCTAAGAACATGGGTCTTAAGAACCTGTTATTAAGGCTAAAATTTGCCAGTTAAAGCCCCCTCTATAATGCAAGAACCTGTTTGAAATAGGTTCTTATTTTCTATTATCTATGAAAAATTCTGCACACTTGGGCATAATTATATTAGATCAGGTCATTTAGAATCCTCTTTGGAGACATAGTGCCTTATCACTCCAACTGCAATGTAATACCAATATTTAAATCAAATAAAATTGTTACTGATACAATTACAAATTACATACAGTTCTTCTTTTTATGTTCATTTTTACACTTATTTGGTATGCAGATTTTATAAGAGGAATAAGCTGAACCATAAAATCCTCTTAGCCACATTGTATTTTTTTCTTCAGAAAATAAGAACCTATTTAAGAACCTAAATAGTCTATACTTGTGCTACCTACCATTTATATAACAACTTGTTTAGCTTTGGAAAAATCCAGGTTTAGTTAGTAGTGGGGTTTTACTGTATAAACACCATATATACTTTTCACAGCAACATATCATAGATTATAGTTATCATCTTAAAATTTGTACTTACGACTGTGTGAGTTCTTGGCCAAACAACTTGACATAGTCTGATAAAAATATTTTTAAAAACTTAGAGCATTGATCTTAGAGCAAAAAATTACATGAACAATGCAGATCAGTGCATCAACACAAAAATTTCAGCGTACTCTAAGAAAAGCAATCAGCTCATAATACTGGCATGCAGTAAGTACTTACTGATTTTATTATTAACTTTACATGTTGCCACTTTTGCGAAGTATTTGTGGGTACACTTCCATCTTGCTATTGTCCAAAATGGCTGACTGCCAACTCCACAAAGAAAATGACATTCTGATGGAATGTTCAACTGAGTACAGCAGTTAGGCGTATCTATCAGCAAATAATATTAATTAAAATGTGAGCAAGTTGGCAAAAGCATTTACAATTGTATGGCAGTGTTTGTGGTGCTTTAAAGAAATGAAATAATGATAAAACAGATTATTATTAGATTTGATTTTTGTGATATCCAAAACAATCAAGGTCAGGGAGAGTGCAGATATCATAAAAACTTTGTCTTGTGATTTGTTTTATGTAAAAATTGTACCGGCCAGGACCTACCTCCAACTGTTGTGGGGCTCAACACAACTAAAAGTGAAAAACAGATAGAAATTAACCCTTTAAGCCCCAATATCCACATACAAATTCTCCCAACTGATCTCTACACATTTCGTTTACGAATTAGTTAAGAGAAATAATATAATACATATTATTGATAAAAGATCAAAGTATTTTCTCTTAGGTGATCATTTTATTAATTCTCATATCCTAATCTCATGACAATGTATAGATATTATTAGGAGAAATTTGCTGTCGGTCACTATTGGGACTTAAAGGGTTAAAGATCAGCATTAAAATACCCAAAACAAACAAGCTAGGTCTAAAACCTTAATCAATCCTAAGTCTATAACAATGACCATGCACTCACCACGAACTCTGAAAGAATTGTTGAAATATTTTATTTATCTCCACCTAGTGACACTGTGCAATTATAATACATGACGTTTTGCCAAATTATGGTATAAATAAATTTGCAGAGGTCAAAAGTAACCAAAAATATTACACATGCTGCCCTTAAGATGGTAGTATGTTTATCGTATCATAAAAATTCTCCCAAATTCTGCTGTAAACTATAACGTCATGGAGGTACAAGATTGTTGTTGCATAATTCACAAAATCACCCCTGGATGACAGAGAAAGCCATCAATATTTTTTTATTCTCATTCTGACATCAATTGTGAGTTGATTGGAAGCGAGTTTTAATCCCCTTTGCTTTTTTGTTGTTACAGAAATAATTTTACCTGCGATTGTACCATTAATGGAGGTTATCATACAGGAAGTGAACACCCTAGTTACCAGGTCCCTACAAGGGTACACTCCAAATTTTAATTATTAAGAATTTGGATATTTCTCAGTGACATCATATTTTTCTACACCCTACGAACACGTACTTCCCTACTGGGATAAACTGATAGAAATTCACATTTTCTTCATATCCACATTCCCTCCTGGATTACACATTCACATTGTACACATTCAAAGTACAACAGTGAGCTGTGGGACCTTTACTGGTGTCCATTTTTTAAAATGTTTAAAGGTGTCTGCCTAAGGTTCATTTTACAGAAAACATGACAAGAAACATTTGAAACAAACTGGATCATTTGCCCAAACACTCAATACTGAGTGGCTATTGTAGGTTTAAAACAAAATAAATGGTAATTAAGCTCCATTATGAAATTAAGTGAATTTTCATTTGTGGCTTTCAAATTTAATGCTTTCTTCTTTATCAAAGTCTATATCACATTAAGTTAGAATATTGTGGTAAGACTATGTTAAGTCTTAATTAATAAACTACAACAAACAGTTTTATGTTCCATTCAAATAATAAGCTCCAGGTTTACGGTTTATCAGACTGAACATACACCTCTAGAGTCCAGCTATTAGGGAGCTTAAGCAGCGACGTTTTTGAGCGACGCACGTCAACCGGAAATGGACGTTTTGCACTCTTGAGCCGTGATTTTGAACAAATGTTTGGGCAGATTGTCTCTATAAGAATGAAGACACTTGGCAATATAAATACGGTAGCGTCAAGGCTTATTAAAAGAGCAAAAGGCTCACTTCCGGTTGACGTGCGTCGCTCAAAAACGTCGCTGCCAGAACCATGGCGCGGCTGATCAAAAAGATTTTTTAAAACAAATAGCATCCAGCATCTCAAGAGTACCTATTTACATCTAATAAAATTCTTCTTGCAGATGTTTTCATACAAGAAGTAGGGGCTTTGATCGTGAACACTTCCACTAAAATAAAGGAATATTCCGATTATTCCAGAATAGTCGAAGGTTTAGGACGCTAATGCAGTTAGTGCGCCTTAAAACATACTAAGACATGGAATTATAATCTAAAAAGTGACCTTACCAATAATCAAAGCACTTGAAACAAGCGTGATCAGCTTCTCAAAGTTCATCCTGACTGGGAAATCTGCAAAATGTGCCCTCCGAAAAGCGTCTTTGTTGCACAATTCAGATGACTGTGTTATTGTCCGGTGAAGGGGCAGAGCTGATCGGGCACTCTTAACCAAATTAGGAAATGGGTCATGTCAAGAGATTGCGAAAGATGGGGATGGGAAGAGCTTGGCCCGGGGGGGGTACTCCCATACATTACCTATACGGGTATGTGCCGCCCAAAGGGGTCGCGATTTTGAAGCTCCTGATTTAGAACGGGGTATCCATTTCAGAGGCGTTTTCTAGAACGGGGTATAATATTTCGAAGGCACGAAAGCTCCACTTTTGCAAGCAGCCATTTGAAAGTATTCAAGGACAGATTGCTTTTAAAAATACGGTTCAAGCAAACCGTTGTACGGAGTATAGAAAATTGGCCCATTTCCAGAACGGGGTATCAGTTTTAGGGCGAATTCTAGAACGGGGTATAAAAAATTGGCCCATTTCTAGAACGGGGTATCAATTTTAGGGGAAATTTTTTCTAGAACGGGGTGCCAATTTGGAGTCCCGGGCGGCACATACCCACCCAAAAAATACCCAAGTGCCCCCCCGGGGAGCTTGGTCTGTTTGACAAAGATCGTGTGAGTTTCTTTCTTTTTGTAATATTTTGTTCTGACACGTTTACGACAAAGGTTGTCTTCACATTGGCTGTGGAGTAACTTTGAAATGAAAAATAAGAGATTTGCTCGCAGTCTATCTTTGTCACGCAACGTTACACCGATACCCAGACAGGACAGCTGAGTAGTACTTGGTGTAAGACTGCCCAAAATGTCCCGAGCCACTGCCCACTACTGTTAGTGCTGCAGTAGCTAGTAGTAGTAGCTGTAGTAGCTGTAGTACCTGTAGTACCTGTAGTACCTGTAGTACCTGTAGTAGGTGTAGTACCTGTAGCACCTGTAGTACCTGTAGTAGCTGTAGTAGGTGTAGTAGGTGTAGTGCCTGTAGCAGGTGTAGTACCTGTAGCAGCTGTAGTAGCTGTAGTAGCTGTAATAGCTGTAGTACCTGTAGTAGCTGTAGTACCTGTAGTACCTGTAGTAGCTGTAGTACCTGTAGTAGGCTGTGGTACCTGTAGTACCTGTAGTAGCCGGTAGTACCTGTAGTAGCTGTAGTAGCTGTAGTAACTGTAGTAGCTGTAGTACCTGTAGTACCTGTAGTATCTGTAGTATCTGTAGCATCGGTACTATCTGTAGTATCTGTAGTAGGTGTAGTACCTGTAGTATCTGTAGTATCTGTAGCATCTGTAGTATCTGTAGTAGGTGTAGTATGTGTAGTACGTGTAGTACGTGTAGTAGCTGTAGTACCTGTAGTAGGTGTAGTACCTGTAGTACATGTAGTATCTGTAGTGTCTTTAGTAGGTGTAGTAGCTGTAGTATCTGTAGTACGTGTAGTGTCTGTAGTAGCTGTAGTAGCTGTAGTAGGTGAAGTGTCTGTAGTAGGTGTAGTACCTGTAGCAGGTGTAGTACCTGTAGTGCCTGTAGTATCTGTAGTAGGTGTAGTACCTGTAGTAGATGTAGTATCTGTAGTAGCTGTAGTAGGTATAGTATCTGTAGTATCTGTAGTAGGTGTAATACCCGTAGTATCTGTAGTAGGTGTAGTATATGTAGTAGGTGTAGTATGTGTAGTATCTGTAGTAGCTGTAGTAGGTGTAGTACCTGTAGCAGGTGTAGTACCTGTAGTATCTGTAGTAGATGTAGTACCTGTAGTAGCTGTAGTAGATGTAGTACCTGTAGTAGCTGTAGTTGGTGAAGAGCTGACACTGGTTGGGGAAGGATTGTCAGTGGTTTTTGAAAAGTTAAGACTGCTTGATGAATTGCTGACACTGGTTGCTAAACAGCTGACACTGGTTGATGATCAGCTAACTCTGGTTGGTAAACAGTTGACACTGGTTGGTGAAGTGCTGACAGTGGTTGCTGAACAACTGACACTGGTTGGTGATATGTTTGAGGGCTGTTTTGGGTGTTTTTGAAGTTTAATACTTACGGTCACAAAAGCTCTGAAATTCAAACGTATTCAACAACAGACGAATCTATTTGAACAGAACATTTTTTAATAAGTGTTATTGCCTTTTAAATTAAGACATTATCGTAATAGGTAATCGTGAAATGTGACATTCAATCACATTGACTTGCAAAGCAAGTCTAATCACTTCGATAACCAAATCAAATGTCTGTTATGGAACGTACTCATGCGGAGAGACACTTCTTCCTCCCTCCCCTCCCCTCCCTCCGTTACGCCGAGCGCTGCCTCTACGTCTATTCTTTGCTATTGTGGTAAAAACTTGCGTAAGTTGTTGTATCTTTCCGTTTAGGATTAAAATAGCTATCATTCTTTGCTTTTTTAATGGTTTTATTTTCATGGCTTAAAGGCATGCTTACTACAATCGATCCGGCAACAATTTGTTTTGTTAATGTTATGGGTTAACAGATTTGGAAACAGTTGAATTCTTGGCCCTGTGTCATTGCTATATTTAGGTTTGCGCTATTTCGCAGTCAGTCTCAATTGGACACATGCAAATGGCCTTGGTGCATAAGAATTGACTGTTTACTTTATGCTTGAGTTAGTGTCTTGATCACGCAACCTGGAACTCCTACTTGTTGTGAAACTTGTATCTGCCTTACTCAAAATGCCAAAAAAAAAATGTCCTTTGTCATGCTTTTAAACTTTGATGAGTTCTGAAATGTGTAAGGCTTCTGCGCAAACGAACAGTGGGCCATGGTTAGCGGAATTATCTGACATAGAATCTTCGAAAGCTAAAGTTAGAAGTGTTTGTCATGCTTATGTAAGGTTTGTAAAATTACTTCCGCGTATGTATACTAACTACCCCGACCCCACTAAGTTATACTTTTGTTGTGTAAAAAAAAACAACAAAAGTTTTCAAAAGTTAAATCTTACAGCATTTAATTTTTTATTTCCTCTTTTCTTTCTTTTTTTCTTTTCGGGGTTCTTAATAAGTAAACATCTTCGCTAATCCGCAAGTTTGTACCCCCTACCATACCCCCTACATCACCCCTTCTGAATAGGGTAATGTCTGGCTATTAAATGCTAAATGAGATTTAAATTACCTCGAATCTCCTGGGAAAAACCCTAGCTGTTTTAGAGGCAACAAAAGGTGTTTGCGTAGCATGCTATCATTTAATTTCTGCATCACTGAAACCTACTGAAACCAAAAGCATCCTGTCAGAAGCACGCTCCAATAAGAACAGGTGAAAGATTTTACTCACTCTTGAGGGCGCTTCAGAGGGTCGGGGGAGAGCTAGCGCGCTACTTTTCTCAACGTCCTGAATGACTGCTAAAATGGTGTATCAAGTTGTATTTCTATGCAGTGTGATAGGATTTCACTCAGTATACGTAAGTAGCTCCCATCACTTTCTTGTTATCTGTCGATAGTGGCCGTGTTATTGAATATTTGTTCAACAGCAAGCAACGCGTGCAGTAATACACGTAAGTGATTTAAGAGGCAGCAATCTTGAAAAAAAAAAGGATAAGCGTGCGTTATATTCCATACCATATCTCTTGCCAACATAGTCTCAGCCTACAGTTAAAATCATGTTAGTTCTGTTGGTGAGGCGAGTTATTAACAATGCCGCAAATGAGTTTCACTCGTAATCAGGACATTAAAATTCTCCCGAGTTTTCAATTACCTAAGTTCTCCTACTTTTGGCACACTAGCTTAATAAAACCTTTACTCCTAAAGGAATCAGATAAAACTGGTATTAAACTTGAGTGCGATCGCTTAGTAGCTACTCGAACTATTTTGCGCAATATGTGTATTTAGGAAGTTGGCATGGTTTCACGTTTAATTTATACATAGTTCAGCTCATTAGTAAAGCTAATTTACTGCGTTATAAAGTACAGTGCTTATTAGAGTCGATAAAAACAGTTAAGGCATGTAGGGTAATCAATTTTTGACACTGTTTTTTTAGGAGTGTAATAAAACAGGTGATAAAATACAATTTTCCTTAACAAAGTACGATAATATTTCATAACGACATTTTCAAGAAATCGAAACATTAAAACAAATGACCTTTGTCCCGTGTGTCATTCATTGAACCAAAGAAATTTCCCGTTCCCAATATTGTGTCTTGTTTGGGAATGTTTTTAACAATTGCTCTCTACACAAATCTATTGTTCTGGTTTTGAGGCGAGGTGCTTGTTACTCCTGACAACCATATCAGATCACGTTTTTTGGAGGTTAGGTTATTGCATTGAAGGCTTGGTTACCTGACTGTGCTAGGTTTGTCCGGGATTCTACAGTAATCTGAATAGACTAGGTACGAAGCTCAAGTAAAAGTTGACTAAAAATAGTATTTCTTGAGTTGTAGCATGTGGTCGATATAGTTCTTGCTTTTAATCTATTAAGCACTGTTATTAGTGTAAAATTGACAGTGAACTTTTTATCTGTTATTATTTTAACCTTTTTGTTTTACATTTTAGTCGCTGAATAAAACTGAAGCACATCACTCGCCTCAAACCATTTGTCCCGGCCAAAAATGTCCTCCGGGACATTCATCCTTTTGTCCTCAAAATACAACCAGCCGCTGCATACAATGCAAGGAAGGTACATTCTCCTCTCACGCGTCTCGTGTGAAGGCATGCAGGCCTTGCTCTCGCTGTCGTGATGACGAGTATGAAATACGCCCGTGTTCCCCAACTTCAAATGTGGTATGCAGGAAATGTAGACAGTGCCCCCCTGGATTTGAAGTAGAGAAGTCCTGTGAAGGAAAGAAAGACACTGTTTGCAAGAAGTGCAATACTCTTGATTCTGACAGAAAATGCAAAAACAGAGGACTTCAAAGGACACCAGGTACTAAATTCAGTAGGCATGTTTTGTTAGTTCAGGCTGCCGTTGAAGCAGAACTAGCAAAATCAAGGCTGCACTCTAAGCAAATTTTGAAGATGCCCGGTGCTCTGAACATGTGAAATCAAGGGTACCTAATATATGATTTGTAGGAGGAAAATAAGAGTTTCCAGTCAACCA